TTCGACTACTCCACCCAGGCTGCATTGTCGAGTGCAGATCCACTGAGAAACTTGCTGTTTCAACATTTAATTTAAAAACTGTATTTTTGAGGTTAAACAAATGTTCATAATTAATTTCAATAAATTACAAGTTAAAAGGGGCATGGAAATTTCTCTTTTTTGTATCGAAAAAACATTGAACCGTGAGACTAAAGTATCGAACCGAACCGAATCGTGAATTTTCTGTATCGTTGCACCCCTAGTAAAAATATAAAGAACTTCTTACTCAGTTAGTGAGTGGATGCCTGTTTTGCCTCGTGACAGTGGAAAAAGTGTGTGTGTGTGTGTGTGTGTGTGTGTGTGTACATTGTTGGTCTACCTGCTGGTAAGGTTCTTCCTGTGCTTGGCAGACTAGTGATGCAACCCATCCTTGTGCAGAGAGTGAGTGTGAAGTTGAACACTTGGTAAGGCTTTAACCCTTTTACTACGTAGGCTGGCTGTGATGATGCTGCCACCCTATGTAAGACCTGAAAAATAAGGAGAATTCACATTTAGAAGTTCAAATGTTTCTTTGGTTGTCAAATGTATTTTGACTATTTAAAAATGAGATCTCACTTGACTAACAACTGGAGGGGCATAGGGACTAGTGGTCTGCTCTGTGAGCAAGTTGACACGATACTCTGTGACTTGTCCTCGTGCAATGAACCCTTGACCCTCAGTGTTGTTCCATGAAACTTTGAGACTGGTGGATGACAGCGCAGTTACATCTGGAGGAGCCACAAACTCTGGGGCTGAAAATATATTCTTGATTTCAGTCATTATTGCAGTTGAGCAGATTATTATTAAAATGAGAAAAAAAAAAACGATTTTAACATTTTATACTACAAAGTAGCAAAAAGGACCCATCACCAAGTCACCAGCAGTAAAGAAAAAAATCATAACTTAGTGTGTAGACGCCATCCCTCTTTTAGTCAAAGATGGGGGTTAATGTCCTCCATAAATTTGAAAAGCTAAATAAAATAGATTTTCTTGCCAACACCACATGCTCTAGAAGCTCTGAAAATCAAGTGATGTATGCTGTTCGTTAAGGGGGAAAATATTAATTTGTAAAGAAATAATGTTATTTTAGCATTTTGATCTCATACTAAAACCTTACAGCTTCTTCAAAAACAATGGGCCTCATGCAAGAACATGTTCGTATTCTTATCCTAAATTTCTCTTACTTTTGTTCYTACAAAGGGTTCGTACGAACATGTCACGTCAGATTCAACAAACTCTTCTATCTTCAGGAAACGTGCGTAAATGAGGAGCGTAAATTCCACCTGTT